TAAACTACACCATTAGATAGTGTTGGTAGCACAGCCTTACAGATATAATTACTGTTTGTTTGATACATGCTTGCTATAAATTCCACTAATATACAAGGATTTATTTTTGTTTGTCTATATTGTAAGAGGCCATTCACACATCATGTATTTTTGTGTTTAAAAACACAAGATGCGTGACAGTGGAATAATAAAAAAAATGTCCTGGGACCTTTTTTTTAAAAAGACACTGCAAAAATCGGAACGTAGCAAAACGTTCAACGATGTCCAGCTGGCGCATGTTTACACATAAAAACAATAGAAAAGCACTGCAGTAGAATACAAAAAAAAACACATTTTGTGTGAACCCCTAACTGGCTACAAGGCTAAATAAATAAATATTTGTGTGGTATACATTTAATGAGTAATGTAATTCTACGTATATTCCATTACTTGAAAGATTTAGTCTGATTATGTATATTGAATCTGATTATTTACAATATTGTTTACTAATATTGAGATTTTCAAATATATTACCAATTTAAAAAAGGTGTTTCTTAATATTGTAGGCCAGTAGGTTGGAGCACATGAGCTTTTGCAGAAAGTTTCACAGTGTTTCACTGTATGTGTGTTTGTAGCACAATCTGCCAAACAACCATCTTATATTCCCTCGGAATACAAACCAAGTCTTTAAAGTGAGAAGTGCACAGCTGCTCTTATAGAGGTGCACTTCACACTCACCCTTTAGTATGTGTGACCTATGGCCCGTTTAACTCTCTCCTATGGTGTAAAGTATATTTTTAAGAGATATTTGGTTGCTTGGCCTTCTAGTTAATACCTTCCTTCCTGGACAGGAAGAGAAGCCGCTTCTGAAACTAAAGTCACTTCTTTCTGTGCATGTGAGAGGCCTTGTCCGTGTTTAAGTGCGTTTAAAGAGGGTGTTTAAATCGGTGGTGAGAAGAGACTTTGTGCAGTGCACAGGTCGATACTGAAGCAGATTTAGATTAATTTGAGGGTCTTTATACAGGTTATTACTGAGACATTCCAACAACCCTTTAGGTCAATAATATATATGCTTGATTCAGTTTGTGAACTTGAAACTTTCTGCATCCAGTTCATTCGGTTGGGTTTGTATGTCTGAGTTCAGGACTTCTTTTGAAGGATCTAACACCAGGAGCAGCACATTTTTAAAGCAATGTAGCTGTGGAATGATAGGTTGTGCTGTGGATATAATGATGGCACATGCACACACAGTATATTAAGAGAGGGGTAATGAGTGTGGCGTAGGCAGCTGTACTCTGGGAAAGATACATCATCAGGTTTAATTAAAGTCATACTGCACATGTCCGCTGGCCTTCTCTAAACCTCATCACAGCCCTCTAATGTGATAATGGCTGTGCACTCAAACAGCTGCTACTGATAAACATTAGGGTGTAATCGTGTATGGAAAGGTGTAGCAGTGAAATATACCATCATTTTACTAGATTTGTTGCGTTTTCACTCACTAACTAGAAATTATACCGCTTGGTGTAAGTACTATGGTACATCCATAAAGTAATCGGATCAGTACCCTGGTTAATTACATGCATGGATTTTCAGCAGCCATTACTCCATTGTTCAGTGTCGCATGATCCATCAGAAATCATTCTAATATGCTGTTTTGATGCTTAAGAAGCATTTATTATTATTATTATTGTTGTTGTTGCTGTTGTTATTATTATTATTATTATTATTTATTTCAGCTAGTTACCTAGACAACATTTCTCATTATTATTATTATTATTTATTTCAGCTAGTTACCTAGACAACATTTCTCATTATTATTATTATTATTTATTTCAGCTAGTTACCTAGGCAACATTTCTCATTATTATTATTATTATTTATTTCAGCTAGTTACCTAGACAACATTTCTCATTATTATTATTATTATTTATTTCAGCTAGTTACCTAGACAACATTTCTCATTATTATTATTATTATTTATTTCAGCTAGTTACCTAGGCAACATTTCTCATTATTATTATTATTATTTATTTCAGCTAGTTACCTAGACAACATTTCTCATTATTATTATTATTATTTATTTCAGCTAGTTACCTAGGCAACATTTCTCATTATTATTATTATTATTATTATTATTATGATTTATTTCAGCTTTAGAATTTAAGATTTTTTTAAATTTATTTTAGTAACTTTAGGTGCTTTTGTGATTTATTTATTAGTTTGGCTTTTTTTATATTTATATTTAGCTATTTATATATAGCTTTAATTTATTTTTATTTCAGTTTTTGTTTTAGTCATTTTAGTTCTTCAGCTTAAACTTACTTATTTCGGTTACCAAGGCTAATTTTCACATATTTATTAGTTTTGTTGTTGTTATTTTTGACAGTGTCCATCTCTATTCACTTCCATTTGATAGAAAAGAGCAACATTAATGGTATTTTGTGTTCAACAGGGGGAAAAAATCATATTTAGAGCATGAAATGATAACAGTATTTTCATTCCTGGAAAAAAAGAAATGTTGATATGATTTCAAGTCATAATCATAGTGATAGTCATGTTAACTTTTGACTCAACCAATCATGTGAGTTTGGGGCGGGACTTTCTGTCTGTCTGGCCAATGAGAGTCAAGGAAATAAAAAAGAACCGAAATTATTAAATTACTAAAACTAAAAATAAATTAAAGCTATACAAAAATGTTTTTAAATAAATAAATAACCGCATAGCAAAATTACTAAAACTTAAAATAAAACGCCTCAAAAATAAAATCCTCAAAAGAACAAAAAAAGTCAAAATATTAAAAAATGCTAAATACTAAACAAAAATACTAAAATAATAATAATAATAATGTACTAAAATAATAATAATAATATTTTGAAGCAACACTGCTTCACGCTTTTTTTTTTAGAAATAATTATTTGGAATATTATTAAATTAATCAGAATTATTGAAAATGTATTATTTCTTTTTATTTCTGCTTTTGTTTGTTTGTTTATTATTATTATTATTGTTGTTGTTGTTGTCGTCGTCGTCGTCGTTGTCGTCGTCATCGTCTTAATGCCCCAGAAAAGAATATTTCAGTGAGAGCTGTATTTAACTCTGTATGAATTGCATTTTTCATGCATTTATGCATTCATAAATTGATAAATCGGATAATAAATTGAATGAGCATCAAATCTTTGACCCGAGCGCAGAAAGAGAAGAGAAGAAGGCCTTGAGAGCAGAACGAGTGCGTTTCACTGGTTCAACATTTAATGAATTAGTTTGAGAGTTAAAGGGAATATTCAATAGATGATCGTTTCTGACAGTCTGTCGAGACGAGCTGTAACTGAGCAAATACATGTGCTTTGACGTTTTACATGAACTTACATGTAAAAGAATGTTGCTATTTTTATATACGATACTCAGAGGTATGAACCAAATGTCTTATCTCTTGTTATTTTTTATTCTTTAAGTTATTCAAATTCTTCTTTTATTTAAAATATGTTTTTCCATATCATATCTTGAAGTGTAGATGTAGGCTAAATATCGCTTAAGCTCATTATCAATATCATTGATGAATATCTATTTATCGCCCGGCCTTCAGTGGATGTAGTTTGTTGGGTTTGCACTGGGACGGTGTGTTTCTGAGCTGGTCGATTTCCTCGTTCACACACACACACACACAAACACACACATGCTTTGGGCTCTTGATAAAGGCAGCGTCCTTCCATGATCTCTGATTTCTGGCACACACACTTGCAAATCCTCCAGGAACGGTTTTCCAAAGGCATGGACTGAAATCAAGTGGGGGAAGGGCAACAAAGAAAGAAAGAAAATCTGAAACAAGAGAGTAAGAAAGAGAATAACAGACTGCCAGAGAGAGAGAGAGAGACGTCGGACACACAGAGACACATGCATTATTTATTAGCAGTATGGTCAATGGGGAAAAAAAAGAGAAAGATTAACTCCTCTGCATCCCATCATCCTCCTCACCAGCGCTGTGAAGCTGCTTTAAAAATGTAGTTGATTGAAATACATAATTTAATATAGTTGAGGCAAAACACTGCAGGTGATTAGTGTAAAAATTAACTAATAGATTTCACCATACTTCACCAGCTGATAGATTACATTAACAATTACAAACATTTTTTGAATTACAAGGTTTTTTTTTATGTAATGTATAAATACATTTAATTAATTGCACTAATTTGCACAAATTTCCTGCACGTAAATCTGAACTTCAGATAAAGCCAGGTTCTTTTTTGATTTTGTTAACATATTTAGATTAAAGGTTTTTCCTGAGGGGATTTGGGATTTCTCTTTTTATTACTCCATAAATCAGAAAATACTGTCAACAGACAGACAAAAATTTTTACCTTGTTTTTAGGAGTAAAATGTTGTATAAATCAGTGTGAATAATATATGAACAAATCTCTCGGTAAAACCCTTCAGAATATAGAGAGGAATAAAACTGCAAAGTTTGGTGTATGTAAGTGCTGCTGAAGTGGAGAAAGAAACTCATTTTGAGAAAACAGACTTTAAAGATATGAATTGAAATTGAAATCTACAGACACAAATAACGTGTAATGAAATAAACACTTAAATGTGTATTTTGGGATGTTTTCTTTCCACTAGTCTGAAACAACACATTATGGAAAGCCAAATAGCCCCAAATCTCAAAATTGACGAGTGCATGAAAGTCTCGTCTTAAACTACAGTTCAGTTGCTAAAAGTGCACATCAGGACTGACCTTGAATGCTTTTGTCTCTCTTGTTTTAATTTTGAGAAAACAGACTTTAAAGATATTAATTGAAATTGAAATCTACAGACACAAATAACGTGTAATGAAATAAACACTTAAATGTGTATTTTGGGATGTTTTCTTTCCACTAGTCTGAAACAACACATTATGGAAAGCCAAATAGCCCCAAATCTCAAAATTGACGAGTGCATGAAAGTCTCGTCTTAAACTACAGCTCAGTTGCTAAAAGTGCACATCAGGACTGACCTTGAATGCTTTTGTCTCTCTTGTTTTGCAGGTTGGCGCTGTCAACCCTCAAGATATGAAAAAGACAAAAAGAAGAAGGAGACGGGAACGACTCTTAATGTTTATTTAAATTATTTCATTTCCGGTTGGTTTGACCTTCCACATGGGACTGAGAGCAAATCAGTCAAATCTGAGTTTTACCATCAGGAATGTGGTGTAACATTCCCACATCGACGGCATGCGAACGACGTTCGGACTTCGAAAGGCAATTAATACGAACTGTTTGTGTATGTAGCTACCTATGTACGAATGTTTGTACAGTTAAATACGTGTATATCTAAGAGAACAAACCAAATGCCCTCCCGTGCACAATCATGCATTATCGAGACCAAGCTGGCATTTTGCATTTCCTGCAATCTTACACATTGTTGGCTATGGTACGGTCCAGCTGCACTCCCAATAACATGATAACAATTTCCACAGTAATAACTAGGGATGCACCGATGTATCAGCCAATAATCGGTATCGGCCGATTAAAACAATTACCTGCACTATCAGCCATAGACCGATTACTTAAAAACAGCCAATGATCAGGGCCGATTATATCCTGTCAATCAAAAGGGGGCGGAAAAACATGTCAGACAGCAACTTGTGTTGTGTTGAATTTAAGACTGTCCAAGTTAAAGCAATAATAACGCAAAGTGTTAACACAAGTTCTGTTTGACCCTGTGAAGCACCCGTAGTTCAAGCCAGGGTTGCTAGATTTTGAAACGTTATTTGTAATGAACCTCCCGTCCAATAATCTTACTTCTGATAAGAAACAAGGTCTCAACTCTCAAGTAATGTCCATTTTATTGTAAAATTTTAATAATAAATGCCGTTTGACGCTCTTGTGGCGTTCAGATCTCTGTAGCACTTCAGTTCAAGAGGCAGTGCGGAGCGCAAGTCTCTTCCACTTTAAAACAAGTTATAGTGTGAAATAAACATGAATGAACATCAGAAGACGTTGAACGATACAGTACATCTTATCGAAATGTGTCATGGCTTAAATCATCACTCAATCAGCATTTCAACCGAAAGAAAGACGTCAAATAAAACGGCTTGTAAACAGTGTATTGCTTAACGCTGCATTCTCCTCAGGAAAGTTATCCAGTTTTCACAGTTGGTTAGGTATCGGAAGATATCTTTCTGAATAATTGTTTATCAGTATCGGCAGATATCATTCTGAATAAACGTCTATAGGTATCGTATCGGCAGATATAATTCTGAATAATCGGCAGTCGGTATCGTATCGGCAGATATCATTCTGAATAATCGATATCGGCAGATGTCATTCTGAATAATTGTTTATCAGTATCGGCAGATATCATTCTGAATAATTGGCTATCGTTCTGAATAATCGACTATCGGTATCGGCAGATATCATTCTGAATAATCGGTATCGGCAGATATCATTCTGAACTATTGGCTATCGGTATCGTATCAGCAGATGTCATTCTGAATAATTGTTTATCAGTATCAGCAGATATCATTCTGAATAATCGGTTATCAGTTTCGGCTGAGAAATTTAGTATCGGTGCATCCCTAGTAATAACGATAATCACACTGACAATGTGGTTGCAGCCTGATGGTACACATACACTCACTGCAGGGACTGTGCTAAAGCAGTGAACACCAACAGCACTAACGGCAGATAACTGTGAGTCTTGTGTACGTCTGTGTGCGTTTACATGTGCGTGTTAGTGTTAAATACAGGCAATACACTTGCACTGGTGCTACTGTGCATGAGAAAGAAATTCACTCGTCCATGTTTGGAAACAAATCTATTTTCGCTGTTCCGTCCGAAGGCCCATGACAATCTTATAACAAATTGCACTCGTTAACTGATCGTTAAAATGGCCCAAAATTTACTTTGAACTGTTAGAGGATGTTCGCACAGGTTGTGCTGTTTTTTATTTAAATGGACATCTCTGTATCTTGTTGCATGAGCTCTGCTTTTTTTTGTTACGTTTATGCATTTTGCAGATGCTTTTATCCAACTTAAAGTATATAGCATTCAAAGTTTACATTTGATCAGTTCATGCATTCACTTAGATTCGAACCCATGACCTTGCCATTGCTTGCACTACTGTTTGAGCAACAGAAATGCTTTAGCATTTAATTTTTAAGCCATGTCATGTTATGTAAAAATTGGTCAGAATTGGGTTCAATACAGTTCACCAAAAATCCCTCTATGAAAAACAAAATCAAGTAGTAAACCTTTAACATTAATAGTTCTCACACATTACAAAAAAGTACACAGAACATATGATTTTTAAAACTGTATTTAACAACTACTTTTAAACATTTTTCACAAAATGTGAAGATTATAAATAGTTTTTTTTTTAATTAAAAAAAAATTTTTTACATTTAAAATTGTATTAATTTTTTTATTTCAGTTTTTTTTAAATGTTGTATGCTTTCCTAAAGCTCAAACTTTAGCAGCATGGCACTTGCAACAGCACGATCATGGGTTCAATTCCCAGCAAAATTCATATGCATGAACTAATAAAAACATAAGCCTTCAATGCAGCGCATGTTCCTTGAAATAAAAGCATCTGCCAAATGCATAATAAATGCACATACCAAACAAAATACATATTTATTTTTTTATTTTGGGTCTGAACACATGCCTTTAACCATGAAATGGGATCAAATTGAAATGGGTCAAATTGCAAACTTTAATTTGAAACTGAATTTCATACATAGTCCACAACACACCGTGGCAAAACTTTGCATGCATGTTCATGACCCTAAATGAGAATTAGTCACGTGATTTCAGGTTAACCAGTAACTCAAAAATGTGTTGTGGGTCAAATTGGAACATAATGGAAGAGTAAAATAATTTGAAAATAATTAAATATAAATAATTTCAAGACTCAAGCATTACATTTTTCTAGCTGTTTATAAGTGCAAGTATGCATTATGTGAACAGCCTTTAACATTTCAAACTGAAGTGTTGTTGATGAAGCTAACGCATTTCTCAAGCATCTTTTCGAGATGAAGGAGTTTGATCGGAAGAACCTTCCCAAAGTGCACTACTCTCCCAACTTGCCAATCTGAATACTGATACTGCTCTTCCTGTTCATGTTCGTCCATTTGGTTTCTGTACAACAGACGATCAACATAATAATATAATCTCCATTTGGGTACGGTATTTTCTCTTTCTCTCAGTATGTTGTGAAATATCAATGGATTTTGCTTTCTATAAGTGTAAGAGCTAATTGAACAATAGCAATGTTTGGCTCTGCACTGTTAACACGGATCGAATAAAGAAGTGAAATGAGTTCAGATTTGTACAGTAACACACCTGTTTAGAAACAGATTATTTAATAAATCAGAAGCGAATGGAATGTGTACAGATGTGCATGACGTCCAGTGACACATCACGCCTTTGCAGCTATTATACGGTGCAAATCCAGACATGATCCATTTTTATTAAATTAATATTTGTGCAAAATGAAGTTCTTGATTCAGCTTTAGTCATAATGTCATGACTAATGGTCAGAGGACTAGTTAAAGAGCAATGAGATTTATGAACTTTAAAAGGTCGACGCTTACTGCGAATGCACTTTTCGACATGTTTGCGCAACATTCCAGCTTATAAGGTCGTGTTTTGCACCTGTAATTTCGGTCAGGCCACGTACACACTGCATAACCTGATTTTCACTCTTAATCCTGAATTTAATTTGTTAGGAAATGAAGACGTATTAATGTATTTTAGCACCCAATTCACTAAAGGTATTATGCAGATTCAATAACAGTAAACATGCACTAAAATACAGTGCACAAAAGTGGTGCAAATGAGTAAATTCAATGCTCTACACTGCAAAAAAAATGATTTGTTGTCTTGTTTTCCAGTGCAAATATCGAAACATTCTCAAATCAAGATACATTTATTTGAGATGCATGAAGACATGCGTCGTTAAATATAGTTTTCTGAAGAAATTATCAAAATTAAGTGGGTTTTTGCTTAAAACAAGAAAAAAAATGTCAGTGAGGTCAGGAAAATAAACTTGTTTTCCCTTGAATTAAGTTTTTCTTACTAAAAGGCAATTGCAGCTTTTTATCTCACACTTCTGTTTTTCTCACAATTTTGAGAAAATGTCAGTTGCGAGATATAAACTCAGAATTGCCAGTTATTAACTATGATAGTATATATTAGAAACATAAATTGAAATATAAAAGTCAGAACTGTGAGAAAGACAGAATTCCGAGTTTCTGTCTGGCAATTCTGAGTATATCTCACAATTTTGACTTTATTTATTTTTTAATCAGAATTCACAAAATTGTTATCTGTGGAAACAAGCTTCCATAATCTTTTTCTTGTTTTGAGTATAAACTTTTGACAAATTTTTTAGAAAACAAGACTTAATATCTTTTAAATTTTGCTTCTTGTACTATACTGGAAAACAAAAATACAGAGTAAGCAACAGATTGTATTGCAGTGCATGTGAAGAGGAGTGACACTCGTATTAATCTGCAGTGTGCACGTGGCCTTTATTCAACATACTTACATATTCTCAGAAATGAAGAGACTTTTTTAATGTTTTACGACTATGAAGAGAGCTGTGATTCTGTCGAAACGTGACGGAGCCGCCGCATTAATGCCTCCAAACCTGCTGCGGCATTAAAGGATTCCAGCCAGTATTAGGAGCCCAATAATTATTTTCATGCAACATGCTTGAAATATGTAAGAGCTCCTCCTGTCTTCGTGGCGGTCGCAGATTTACATGTGGCATGCTGTATTTTATCACCACTTTAAGGTGTCTAGAGTCTTCTTTTTTGCAAGAAAAAGGGATGGAGAAAAGTAATAATAAATGATTATTGCACATTTAGCACTGTGACGAACTCACAAAAAAGAAGAGACATCATGTTTGCATAATCATAGGCGCTTGCTTCAAAGTTGGTTATTTATGGAAGCTCATTTCTTCTACTGAATTAAAAAATAAAACGAGGTAATTGCGACTTTTTATCTCACAATTCTGACTTTTTTCTCTCAGAATTGCATGATATAAACTTAAAATTGCGAGTTATAAAGTCAGAATTGTGAGATATAAACTTGCAATTCTGACTTTTTTTTCCTCGCAATTCTGACTTTTTTCAAAATTGTGAGATATAAACAAACGCGAGTTATAAAGTCCATTTCTGAGGAAAAAAGACAGACATAATTGTCTTACAATTGTGTGTTTATATATCGCAATTATGACTTTTGATCATGCAATTGCGAGTTTATATCTAGCAATTCTGACTTTTCTTAGAATTGCAACTTTATTTCTCAGAATTGTGAGGTTATCGAGTTAATTCGAGTGAATTTAAACTCGAATTATCGAGTTTAGTGAGTTTAAATCTCGCAATTCTGGCTTTTTTCTCACAATTGCGAGTTAATATCTTGCAATTCTGACTTGAGAATTGCAACTCAAAGTGCAAATTTACATCTCGCAATTTTTACTTTTTTCTCACAATTGTGAATTTATATGCGAGATAAAAAAGTCGCACTTACCGTTTTTACATTTTTTAATTCAGTGGCAGAAAGGGGCTTCCATAGTTATAAAATCGATATATAAATGTAAATATACCAAGAAAAGGGAACAGCTTTAGATTCCCGGTTTGCTCTGCTATGGAATGTGCTGTCAATACCATGTTATTCTCAATTCATCTGTGAATATTTACTCTTTTTGTAATCTTTGTTATATACTAGGCTGTATATACAGTATATATTCAGCGTTAAGGCTCACGAACGCCCCCTCGACGCCTGGTTCATATCCGTATATTCTCGTTGGGAAACAGGCGTGGAGGTTGAACATGCATCCGCTGTGCTGAACACTGAATCTGTGTTTTCGCTTCACTTGCCTATATCTATTTTTCTTTTTTGTAAGATGCACTGAAATAATGCAGACTTTTGACAAGCAGTTCTGGAACCTAGACGTGTAACTGGTCACTTTATAACGAACGAAACTTAGACTATATTAGAGTAGGAATTGCATTATTTGTTAGAAACCTGTATGTAATGTTATTATGGAAGATGTAATGTCCTTCTGTAAATGTTGTTTATTGTTGTTTTACCTGAAATAAATAAAGTTTATTAATGCTTCAAACCAACCTTCGTTTTCACAATCAATGATTTGAAGCACTCTGCACTAGAGCCCGACCGATATATCGGTATCGACGAATATGCCGCCGATATGAAATTTTTTTTTACGTAACATATAACGCAGATAAAATGCTTGAAATGGTGTAATTACTTAGTTTGTCCAGCAGAGCGCGCGCCATTGTTTGCTACTGGCGACCTGGATGAAACGCTTTAAAGCTTAAATCTATGGAAAACCATTGAAACTTTGAACGGCCATATCTCCATAAAACAGCGTGGCAAATCCACACCAAATTCGGGGGATCCCTTCAGCTCGAGGAACCCTCTCGAACGCGAATCGAGTGTATGTCTAGAGGCCCGCTTTCGAATGAGACCACCCCGACGTTGATAGCCCCCGGGGTTCGGGAGTTCCGGATGGTTAAATTCGAGGTCCGGCAACCGACGCTCGGAGGGTGTCTTTCAAGTGGGCTCCTGGAGCTGAATGGATCCCCCGAATTTGGTGGAGATCCCCTGGCACGTTCGCGAGATAGTGACACCAGCCAACACTTTCCCTTCAGTAAGGAGGTCTCTTGTTCAGGCAGCATTCAAGCGTGGTCTTATTCGACCGTAAGTGCCCTGCGAAGTGGACTTCACATGATATTCCGCCATGATTCCAGTTCCAAGGGAACGTACACGTTACATTCAAAGAGCATTAAAGTGCGCGAGACGTGAATTTATATTGTATTTATTTACAGAGGTATATTATGTCACACTTCACACTTCTCTAGTAAGTTTCGTCTGTGTGTGTGTGAAGACAGTAGCGCAAATCCGTGAATGGATGTTCCGAAGTGAAATATACTTCAAAGGAATAAAGTTGAATGGAATTGAATTAAAGTTGAATAAACTTCAACTTTACTGTTCAGTGCTCGAGGGTACGTCGAGAGGCCCGCTTTCGAATGAGCCCACCCCGACGTTGATAGCCCCCGGGGTTCGGGAGTTCCGGATGGTTAAATTCGAGGTCCGGCAACCGACGCTCGGAGGGTGTCTTTCAAGTGGGCTCCTGGAGCTGAATGGATCCCCCGAATTTGGTGGAGATCCCCTGGCACGTTCGCGAGATAGTGACACCAGCCAACACTTTCCCTTCAGTAAGGAGGTCTCTTGTTCAGGCAGCATTCAAGCGTGGTCTTATTCGACCGTAAGTGCCCTGCGAAGTGGACTTCACATGATATTCCGCCATGATTCCAGTTCCAAGGGAACGTACACGTTACATTCAAAGAGCATTAAAGTGCGCGAGACGTGAATTTATATTGTATTTATTTACAGAGGTATATTATGTCACACTTCACACTTCTCTAGTAAGTTTCGTCTGTGTGTGTGTGAAGACAGTAGCGCAAATCCGTGAATGGATGTTCCGAAGTGAAATATACTTCAAAGGAATAAAGTTGAATGGAATTGAATTGAATTAAAGTTGAATAAACTTCAACTTTACTGTTCAGTGCACTGATGTCAGACTCATTTTGGATAATAAAGTGTATTGTTAAACTGTTAAATGCCCTGCCTCTATTACGTATCTCTGTCACGTCATTATAAGTGTTTGATCACCACATTTGAGTGATCATTGCAAAACATGTGTTTATATGTTCTGTTTATGTATATACTGTATTCTATATATAGTACCAGTCAAATGTTTGGACACACGAATGGGAAAATGTCCAAACTTCTGACTGGTACTGTACTATAACATACACAAAGAATATCAGCCGATACTGTATATCGATATCAGCATTTTTGTATTCCCTAATATCGGTATCGGCCCCAAAAAACCCATATCGGTCGGGCTCTACTCTGCACTGGTTTCAAGAGAAGTTGGCAATAGCATGTGACTAATATTGAACTGTATTCACAAACAGATTAAAAAGTAATGATTTTTGCTTCTGCAAGCTCTTAAAAAATAAAGGTTCGTTATTGGCATCGATGGTTTTGTGCAATCAATTCTTTATAAAGGTTCTTTATAGAAGAAAAAGGCTCTTTAGATCAGTAAAATGTTCTTCACAATGGTTCTTTTAAGAACTGTCTACTGAAAAGTTCTTTGAGGAAACAAAAGTGGTAAAAAAGTTTTAAAAAAAAAGCTTTTGCAACCTTTATTTTTAAGACAAATCTGGGCGATTTCAGTTTACATAATGGTTAATGGTTACCCGAAATGACACATTATTAGTGAGTTTACATGCATGTTTTGCACGTCATCTCTCTCTGGTTTGGCCAGTCCAGTCTGTTCCAGGATTGTTCCGATCTTGCAACCTTGTTTTAGCATCTAGATTAGATTGACTGTTATGGCCTGGTCATTTTCACCATAATTAAAAGAAAAGTTTATATGTCCTGTCTAAAGAGATTTCGAATTCTACACATTTAAAATACAATATATTGGTTTATTTACTCTCCAGCTGAAAGTCCAGTATGAGCGGCTGAACTGGAAGAGCATTTCATGTTTGTTCATCCAAAAATATTGCACAATAAGACCAAATGGAAAATGGCAAAATGAAATCTTGACTCAGGCAGAAGTTGTTTTGTATTCAGCCAGTATCCAGACTCTTAGTGAAGGCTGTCTTTACATTCTCCTGTCAGAGCAAATCATGTCCCTCTCATTTCTCCTACAGACACTCACAGTAACCAATAGGAAGGGCTGCACGTTAGGGACCGTCTCTGTTTTTTTGCACAGCAAGCAGATTTGTTCATTGATATTTAGCAGATTTGATGAATTGTTTTAACCTCCTGGAGAGATCTTTACTGTGCGAGCGCGCGCGTCAGGGCTGCGAGGCGCTCATGAACAAATTCGGCTTCCAGTGGCCGGAGAGTCTCGCGTGCGAGTCGTTCCCGGTGCACGGCGGAGAGCTGTGCGTGGGGCAGAACACGTCTGAGCGGAGCGCACCGGTCAACCCGACTCCAGATGTGACCCAAGCTACACCCGAGCATCACAGGAAGGGGCGCTTTAGATGCCCGGCTTCGCTGAAAGTCCCGCCGTACCTAAACTACCGCTTTCTGGGCGAGGAAAACTGCGGCGCGCCGTGCGAACCCAAAAAACTCCACGGGATGATGTACTTCAGCGAGGACGAGCAGAAGTTTGCGCGGATCTGGATCGGGATCTGGTCGGTTTTGTGTTGCGCGTCTACTTTATTCACCGTCTTGACTTATTTAGTGGACATGAATCGCTTTAGTTACCCGGAAAGACCCATTATATTCCTTTCCGGGTGTTATACGATGCTGTCCGTCGCCTACATCGCCGGATTTCTGCTGGAGGACAAAGTGGTTTGCAATGAGCAGTTCGATAATGAGTTCAGGACGGTGGTTCAAGGCACCAAAAAGGAAGGCTGCACCATCCTGTTCATGATGCTGTACTTCTTCAGCATGGCCAGCTCCATCTGGTGGGTCATTCTAGCGCTCACTTGGTTCCTCTCGGCCGGGATGAAATGGGGTCACGAGGCCATTGAAGCAAATTCGCAATATTTCCATTTAGCAGCGTGGGCGGTGCCAGCCATCAAGACCATCACCATCCTCGCGGTGGGTCAAGTGGATGGAGATGTGCTCAGCGGCGTCTGCTTCGTGGGCATCAACAGCGTGGACGCGTTGCGCGGATTCGTCCTGGCGCCGCTGTTCGTCTACCTGTTCATCGGCACCTCGTTCCTCCTGGCGGGCTTCGTGTCTCTGTTCCGCATCAGGACCATTATGAAGCACGACGGCACCAAAACGGAGAAGCTGGAGAAGCTGATGGTGCGCATCGGCATCTTCAGCGTCCTCTACACGGTTCCAGCCACCATCGTGATCGCGTGTTACTTCTACGAGCAGGCCTTTCGGGATCAGTGGGAGCAGACGTGGAGCGCTCAATCGTGCAAGACGTACGGGAAAGCTTTCAGATGATGTATAAATCTCAATTTTGAAAAATTGACACTTAAGACTGATTTTGTACTCCAGGGTCACATTAGTTTAGAGCTGTTTAAACGCTGCATGATCTGTGCAGATTTCTCTCCTGATTCACACCAGAACACTTTTTCACTGGAGGAAGTGTTATTATGGATTATGGACTCTATGTATTTTAGTTAAAAACGTCTTAATGCTGGATGTGTTTCAGCTTTTGTCTTCTCCAGATGTTCACTGATGGACTGGAGTGCTGTGGATTATTGTGATGTTTTTATCAGCTGTTTGGACTCTCATTCTGACGGCACCCATTCACTGCAAAGCATCCATTGCTGAGACACTGATGCAATGCTACATTTCTCCAAATCTGATGAAGAAACAAACTCATCCTGATCTTGGATGGTCAGAGGGTGAGGACATTTTCAGCAACTTTTCATTTTTGAGTGAACTATTCCTTTAAAGTTAATTCATAAATGCACTATTGTTCATTGTTAGCTCATGATCCTTCATAATGCATGAATGAATTGACATTAAGTAAAACTTTTAAATGCAAACTTAAGTGTTAACTTGCTGTATCTAACATTATTGTCAAGAGTTCCCGTGACTCGTGAGGTGTTTGGTTATGTAATTCAGGGCAGACTGTATACCGCATATGGCTGCAGGTTATTTGTGTTCTTCAAACAGACCTTAAATGCTCGTTTGTCCTCTGAAGTGTTGAGCTCCTCTCAAGTCTGTTGGGTTGATCAGGTCCGGTCCTGCTCTCTGGCTGCTGAGAGACTCTCAGGTGTAAATACTGTCACTTCTGCCATCATTCTATCAGACAGTTCATTGAGTAGCCTGTGATACGGCTGTCATCATCACGCTGTATCAAAGCCGTATGCAGCTATTAATGTGTTATTGACTGAAATAGACTCAACCGAAGCTTTGAAATCTCATTCGCTCATTCAAAAATGACACACCAGGTTTGAGATCATAGATTCTCACATAAATGCAGCATCACAAATGAGATTTGAGGGGAAGATTACAGTCACAAAGCATCATAAATATGTTTTTTTTTTCTTTTTTAAGTTGTAGTCACTATAAAATGTTGTTATATGCTGAAGAGCGGCTTGAAAATTATCCTTTTGTGTTGAAAGTCAAATGACACATGGGTGATATAATAACAGAATTTTATTTTTTTGGTGGGTAAGGGCACTAAAAAAGTCACTCTGGTAAGAATGCGGCTGTTTAAACACAATTGTAAATTCAGCTGGGTACATAATTCATAAAAAAGAGTTTAAGAAGTTTAACTTGTGCTATGCTGAAAATCCATGACCTATTTGGTGTTCCTGATCAAAAACAACCGGAATTATACATTGCATATAAATCTCTCATTATGCTATATTATCAGCAAATCTTGGCTTCAATCTTTTTGTCACCTCGTTTTCTTTCAGTTAGCACAGGTTTTGTGCTTCTCTTTGGAGCTGATTGATTGTAGGCCACGTTGATCTGAGTTCATGCACCTCAGTTTTTGAGTGAAAAAAGCATGATTTGTGTACATTTTTGACAATGTTCACTCAAAAACTGAGGTGCGTGAGCTCAGATCTGGTTTAAAAAGAAATACAAAACCTGTGCTAAATAAAAAAAACAAGTTGACAAAAAGATCGAATCCAAGATTTAGTAATAATAAAGCATAATTAGAGATTTATATGCAATTTTTTTGCAGGCCGGTCACTTTTGAGTGTAACAAGGTTGGAAAAAAGCATTTTTGGGTCCAGTGCGATGACATTAACTAGCATTTTTAGCAAAAGAAAATCCTCTCCGGATCAAAATGACTGGAAAACACAGCATCACAAATGAGATTTGAGGGGAAGATTACAGTCACAAAGCATCATAAATATGTTTTTTTTTTTTCTTTTTTAAGTTGTAGTCACTATAAAATGTTGTTATATGCTGAAGAGCGGCTTGAAAATTATCCTTTTGTGTTGAAAGTCAAATGACACATGGGTGATATAATAACAGAATTTTATTTTTTTGGTGGGTAAGGGCACTAAAAAAGTCACTTTGGTAAGAATGCGGCTGTTTAAACACAATTGTAAATTCAGCTGGGTACATAATTCATAAAAAAGAGTTTAAGAAGTTTAACTTGTGCTATGCTGAAAATCCATTACCTATTTGGTGTTCCTGATCAAAAACAACCGGAATTATACATTGCATATAAATCTCTCATTATGCTATATTATCAGCAAATCTTGGCTTCAATCTTTTTGTCACCTCGTTTTCTTTCAGTTAGCACAGGTTTTGTGCTTCTCTTTGGAGCTGATTGATTGTAGGCCACGTTGATCTGAGTTCATGCACCTCAGTTTTTGAGTGAAAAAAGCATGATTTGTGTACATTTTTGACAATGTTCACTCAAAAACTGAGGTGCGTGAGCTCAGATCTGGTTTAAAAAGAAATACAAAACCTGTGCTAAATAAAAAAAACAAGTTGACAAAAAGATCGAATCCAAGATTTAGTAATAATAAAGCATAATTAGAGATTTATATGCAATTTTTTTGCAGGCCGGTCACTTTTGAGTGTAACAAGGTTGGAAAAAAGCATTTTTGGGTCCAGTGCGATGACATTAACTAGCATTTTTAGCAAAAGAAAATCCTCTCCGGATCAAAATGACTGGAAAACATCAGGATCTATATGGCTCTAATTATTTCGATTAATTCCATGTTCATGGAAAACCTTGAAATTTCAATCCATTTTAAAACTCTGATTTCCAGTAATAAGAAAAAAAGCCTGAGGGTAAGTACATTTTCAGCAAGTTTTCATTTTTGAGTGAACTGTTCCTTTTCCATCTTGTCTAATGTTAATTTATAAATGCATGAATGAATTAAAACCTGGAAATTTCGATGCATTTAAAAATGGAGATTTCCAGGTCTAAAAAAGTCATGTAAATGAGTAAAAACTTGGAGAAGTCATGGCAATTTTAAGAACTGAAACTGAAAGCATCCCAAAATGGAAAAAGCCTTCTCAAACCTTTATTTTTAAGAGTGTCTGTAACAGATTTGAAGTAATGGTGTGTGTTTGAACGTATTGAGTCTCACAGAAGTGTGTGAATCTGATGTGTTGCATTCCTGTTTGTGCTCGATTTCTGCAGCTGACGTGTGAGACGGATGCGTGCCGCATCGGTCACGAGAACAGAGCTCAACTCAACCTGTAAGTGTGTGTCGCATGCACTCAGACCAGAATACACTGTCTGAACCAGCCCAGATCAGCCCAGATCTGAAGTGTTTCGCAGCGGGTGCTGACTTGCTGAACAAGAGTGTGGGCAGGAAATGTGAAATTAATCTTTGTAATACTGAAAACTCCTGCACATGATTCATATCTGGGCTTCGGTGAAGCTCAGCGCTCGTGTCACGTGCTGCTTCCACTGTGTTCAGCATAGCATACTAGAATACTACTTTAACTATTTCTGTTATGCATACTGTGCATAATATGCAAATTGTCTGTTTGCATGAAATACCCAGGTGACTTATACTGTATCGAACAATGCAATGCACTCAATTTGACCTATACTATTTTAGTTGTTATTAATATTTTGAATTAGTTTTTATTTTTATATTTTCTCTTTTAAAGTTTTAGTAATTCTGTTTCATTTTTTGTAATTTAATTTTTTTTAATTATATTTATTTTTATTATTTATTCTGTTATATATGTATTATCATTTTAGTACATTAAGTTAGCACAATTAAGTTCAATTAAATAAAAAATGTTGCCTTGGTAACTAGCTGAAATTATTTATTATTTATTTTATGTTAGTTTATTTTATTTCAAGTAAAGGTTTTATGGTTTTAGTTTTAGTTGACTAGAATAACCTTGAGGCATTGCTTTTAAATTTAAATTTAAAATGTAAAATATTTAGGCCCAAAAAATGTCAAAAATATTTGTATTTTTTTGTATTTGAATTTCATATAAAATGTCCATCCATTTATATTACACAGTTTTAAAATTAATAGACTAAGAAACTTAATGTGATGCATATTTGTCAGTCATACAGAAATGAAACGGTCAGATTTTTGCACTATATATATATATTATAATTATTAAAACTATTTGCATCTATTTAATTTTATTTAAATAGTCATTATGCATTTATTCGAATTGCTTAGAATAAGCATAAATCTGTTAATTGCTAAAACAATAACATTTACTTAGTTAAAATGTATGAAGATGGTTAAATTATGGCTAACAATATTCAGTTAGTTAAAATACATAAAAAACTAATTGGATTTATTTATGATAAATATATAAACCTGGTTATTGTGTAAAATACATTCAGTTTATTAGTATTATTACAGAAGTCTGACCAGTTTCATTTAGGTATAATGACAAATATGCATTGCAATGAATATATAAGTTTATTAAAACTGTTTAATCCAAATGCATGGAAATTTTATATGCAATTAAAAATACAAAAATCTTAAATTTAGGCTTTTTTGTGTGTTTTTTTTGCACAGTATGCATGAAGAAACCGAAAGTAATATAAACTATTATTTTATTTTATTTGACAACTTTTTTCAAACATCTTCTTGACTTGTATGTTCAGAAGTGAGTTTTCCCATGCTTGTACAGTTGTTGTTTTTTAATCAGGCTACTCAAAACCTATTGTTTTTAGCTAATAATGTTAGAGGCGTGTTTGCTGAGATGCATTATATGTCGATGCTTGTCCACAACCACTATGATGATGCCGGACTCTTGTGACTCTTCTGGCTCTTTTGCAATATCTGAACGTTTGTTTGTAACCAGAGACTTTAAATGTAGAAGCATGCGTTTGACATGAAGGTGCGTCAAGAGAATACATGCTTCATGTTCAGCCATGCATTCAGACGATCTGCTCTCATGTAAACAGTAGGACTGATGTGTGTTATAAACAGACGTGCCATTGCATTTTCCAGCCTGGAAACCCCTTTCCGGAAAATAAAATCCACAAAGATATTAAATTACAGCCTGTTAACTCCAGGCATTTCTCCTCG